TCGCAGGTTAAATCTTAACCAACTAGATCGCATTGCTAAAAAAAAAGTATGTAAAGAGGGCAGATATAATAGCAAAGGAGAAATAGTAAACAACTAAGGAAATAAGGTTGCGTCTATTTAGACAATAAGAGATGTGTAAATTAAGAGGAAGCTATAACACGAGAGAAATCTTTCACGGCAAATTCTCTTTCACCTACATAATAAAATTTAAACTATAGAAAATGACAATTCAGTTAAGTCTAAAGTAAACCAAGAAGAAATATTTAAAAAAATTTCTCTTTTTCAATATGTAAAAATGCGTAGGATTGTGTAGTGGAGAAGTTATCCTGCAATAATTTGTTTGCATTTTAGTGTTTAGAAAACAATTTTCAGCATTTGAAATTTCATAGTTTACTCTAGTTTCACTCTAAACTTAAATTTGCTAGAGATGTTTCCCGTGGTGTGGCGTCCTTCAAGGAGGAATTGAAAGAGTGTGGCGTCCTCCAAAGAGGAATTGAAAGAGTGTGGCGTCCAATTTCATATTCTCTTTCACCCCCATTACTGATTCAAAATTTTAAAAGAAAGGAAAAGTGAATTCAGGCAATCATAAAGTAAACCATGAATTTTCAATCGTTAAATTTTTTTTTTTTTTTTAATATTTAAAAATACAAGCAAATTATTGAACGAGAACTTTTCCCCTGCGCAGTTCTCAGTTAGCCTCTCATAAATTACCTTCATTTTCGTATTTTAAAAATTTCTTTTCAATATTTGAAATTTCGTGCCTTTCTCAGGTTTGCTTGAGCTCACTTTCTTTAGACTTTAAATTAGTTATTGAGGTTAAAGAGAATTTGTGAAGAAAAGTTCCTCCCGCTGTATGGCGTTCTCTCAAGAGATGAGATTGCAGATCACTTTCAAAGACCAGTGGCGTGTAGAGTAAGGGGTAAAAGGGGCGTAGGCCCCAGGAATGAAGCCACTTGGGGCACCATGAGGACTAAGGACACTAAATTTACCAGGACTCTATACTCGCCTTCTTGAATTTTTTTACGTTAAATTTTTAATATTTATTTATTTATTTATTTTTAACAAACTTTTGATGATGCAGTATTATTAGACAGTACAATACCTTTCAAGATTAGGCAGAAGATAAAGGAATAGTTTTAGAAGATTAGGAGGAGAAGCATTTGATAATTTTTAGAACTTCAATGAATTTTTCCTCTAAACTTTAAAGCAATTAACTGATGCGATTTGTGGTTTTGAGTAATTTAAAACTGAGGGTCTGTCCAGGCCAAATTTACTACCGTTTAGCGGTACCTTCACAAATTCAACTTTTAGAAAAAACGGTAGTTTTACAAAATACTTTTTCTTTAAATTTTATTTTTGCATCCCGTAAGAAACGATAAATCCATATTTTTGTGTTGATTTTTTAATATAATTTTTAATTTTCACAAATTATGTCTAAATCTTCACAGAATAGGTACCTCCCAAAAAACCGACACAGACCCCTGAAAACTACACGTTTCTCAGTCTTAAGATTTTTAAAAAAATTAATTTTATTACAGTTTTAACTGGTAAAAAATCGATTTGGATGACACTAAAAAATCCTTTAAACATTAATTGCATAAAAATTTATTAACATTAAAACATTAATTGCATTTTGTCAGAAAGAATTAAGAGAGAATCTAAAATACCGCACACTTTATGTATCTCCAATTGCGATTGGGTGACAGTATCGAAAGATAGTGTCGAACTTAAATATCCATCATCAGTTTACTTAAAAGCATATTAAAAGTATATTTAGATTTTTCTCTCCACGTCACCACCCCTCCGGCAGTTAAGCTCGGTCGGGAGAGGAAGGTTCTCTTATGCCTAATAGGGTTATTTTATTTCTGAAACTAATTTTTTTAATAGATAAATATTTGGCAAGGAAATGTTTTATGAAGAGTGGAAAATATGATTTTAAAACAAATTTAATAATTAAAATTTTCAGTAGTTAAAATATTCCTTACATTCCAGAAAAATGCAAAATTGTTGCATACAATACATTTTTTACCATATAAATAATTTTGGCCTTTTTCCACAGTCAAATTGTGTTTAAAATATTGATTTACATTTCCGTTCATATATTTACAGCATATATATATACAGGGTGCGTAGCCAAATTTTTCAACAAAAAATAAGCACCTTTTAAGCCCTTTTCAAACACTCAAAAAAAATTTTTTAACACTTTCAAAAATATCATAATTAGACAGGATTGGCAAGTTTTTGACAATTGATGGTTTTATCCAGTTTTATTTACAGTGACGAAGACGATGGCGCGTCACAAACGATGGAATTAACAAGAGAAATGAAATTTTTCATCACTAAAGGAGGAAAAAAAATTTACAATGTTTAGTTGGTCCCCGTAATCAGCAAAAATTCGAAAGATTTTTCGATTCTATTACAGGGGCGGAAAATGAGATTTTTCGATTCTAGTACAGAAGGCAGAAAATGAAGTCTGAAATTGAGAATTTCTTGCGAAGTGCAGCAGGGTTGCACATGAGAGTCAAAAATCCTTACCACTGAATTCAGCTCAGTATACGCATGTGCGGACCCGCAAGTATTTCATCAAACATGTTAAACAAATGGTGTTTTCATACACTACCTACCGGCGGTACGCAGAAATAGATTGGGGTTTAATTAATTGTGAAAAGGTTGAATAGGACAAAGTCTTTTTGCATAATTTGTGGCGAAAATCAACATGGTAAAAAAAATATCACACTTCGGAAAAGGGAAACTTAAGCACTTTATAAAAACATCCATGGAAAAAAACACCTTTAAGGGCTTTTAAAAAACGAAAATCGAAAATAAGCACTTTTAAAAAACGCTACGCACCCTGATATATATTTTTTAATTAGCTTTATAAATTATATATTTATTAAGTATTATATTAATATTATATATTTAAATTATATTAAATATTATATATAAATTATATTAAATATTATATATAAATTATATTAAATATTATACTAAATATAAAATTATATTAAATATTATATATTTATTAATATTTTATTAGCTTTATAATTTTTTTTAATTAGCTTTTTTTAATTAGCACTCTCTAGTTTGTTATGATCATCTAAAAAAAAACTGGATCAGTTGTTCAACGACGGTTATTAAAAAAAATACAATTATACAGAAGCATCCCAAGATCAATTGTAAAGGTCGAATTCCAAAAAAACCCATAAGTATATGGTCCCTTAACCATTCGTTCCTTCCATATTCATTTCGACGCAAACCCATCCGTCGAGGAAAGAGAAAAATAAAAGAAACAACGGGTCGCTTAGCAACCGCATCGTTTTCCTCCTCCTCTTCCCCATCCCTCTTATTATTCAGAAAAGTGTGCCTTCTACCACCATCTTCATTCTCTGTTGTAGGAGGAAAGCCGGCAAGGTCACGGCTGAGTGCCGGCGTGGCAAGTGGCCAAAACGGCTCACGGGAAGTGGGGAGGACTCGCGACGTTTGACACGGAGGTTACGGGAGCGATTGGTATAAACAACCTGAAAATATTGATCACGCCCCTACTGCCAACTTGGGACGTCCAGGTTGATCAAATCTTTCTTCCCAACTTCGCTAAAACTTTTCTTTTTTTTTTTTTATCGCAGAAGTTAAAGCATTAAATATCATCTTGAAGTGAAAGCATAATTAATTTTTCAACGTTGCTTGTGAAGAAATACTTTTACGGTTGAATTTCATATTTATGCCATAATTTTTAAACAAAGATTTTACGTACTTAAAATCATTTTTAAAACAGAGATTTTGCATATTTGTGTCCCATTTTCAATTAAGATTCTACTTACTTAATGCATTTTATCTAGGGAACGAATCTTTCAAAATATTTTTCTTTTTAGAAACCTACAATTTAATAAATACTTAATTTTTTTTTTTTTAAAAAAAGGTAACGTGACTAATTTATAACAATTCCTTCAATGACATAGTTCTTTTTTTTAATTTTTTTCCACGCAAAAACGGGACCTTATTTTCACAAAAAAACAGAGCTCTGATATAAAATAACCTAACTCTATGCTGTTATTATAATGATTAAAAAAAATTATGAAAAGATCTTTCACAAAATTATAAACTAATCTTTCCAATTTTTACAAAAAATGCTGAAACAGACAACCTTCGAAATTTCACAATCAAATTTTGAAGGTAATCGCAGAATTATGTTCGGCCATGTGCTTAGGGAAACAAGAGCAAAATGCTTTTACAGCATAAACTTACAACTTATGAGATCTTTTTTTTTAAAGTGTCAAAAAAATAAAATGAAAAATAAAATCTGGACAAATATAAATTTAACTTAAAAAAGGACTTAAAAAGAAAGAAAATGCTAAAATGGCACAACAGCTTCAAATGCATACATTTTACAAACCTTCATGCGCAACATAAAGCAATCAATTTGTTTTGTGGCAATTCAATATCATTTTTTGAAGATTACTATAACACTTTTGTGGATTGCTAATTGCCAGCATTTTACAGATTTTCTTCAAAATTTTATTTTTCAATATGAAACTGCTTGCATAATTTATAAATTTTTTAAAAATTTATTTACTATTTGAATTAGTGAAGTTAATTTAAAATGATTTAAATGATATTAACTAAACATATTAAAAATTTTTAATAATCCTATAACGTTGTCTAAGCTCCAGCAAAATAATAAAAAAAATTTTAAAAAATGAATAATAAATAAATAAATTGTTTCAAAGGTCATTTAAAGCAAAAAAAAAAATTTCTGAGATTTGTTTTGAACTTTGATAAAGAGTCCTGATTTTTGTACGGTGTTTTAGTTAGCTTTGTTTTTAACCAATTGGAATCCCTTAAATAGATTTCGATTTAAAAAAAAAAATATCTGAAAAGAATGATAATTTCGATCGAGATAGTTCTAAGACAATTAATATTTTCCAGAATGCAAACGCGATTCACAAATTTGCAGAAAATCACAATTTAACTGTCATAAATTTTCTACATTTAAGTTTACTTACGTGTGCAATTCCATTTACTGCATAACCGGAATTGACAAAACCCTGGAAAAAAATAACACAGAATTAAAAAAAAAAAATATTGCATAGTTTATATAAATTTCAAAACGTATAAATAATTAATATTGTTAAAAAAAATCTTATGAATGAATTACAAATGAATTAAAATTATTAAAATCTGTAAAACGATGAGATAAAATACAGGACTACCAATTAATACGCTTTTCGCAAACTATTTTACTAAATGATAAACAGTCAATAGCTGAAACCATTGGAAATTTGGTTAATTCCGACAAGATTTAAAAACCTTGCCGAGAGTAAATTGAAACTGTCACGTTTTATCGTACTATGTTGATGCATTATCTTGTGTAATATTTATATTTCTAAAAAAACTCAATCGGACTTCATATTATTTTTTATTAATTGAGTTCTTAATTAATGTTTATATTTTAAACAGAGAAAAAAAAAACTGCAGAAGAGTTTTTTGCGTTTGAAATTTATGTTATATTTGTAATTTATGTTTCGATTTTAATTCTTGTTATTTCCGATCTCAAAAGAGGGAAAATCCGAAATAGAATTTTTTTTATTGTTCTGTAATAATTAATATACTGCACACTAGAAAGAATATTATTCACCTTTAAAATTGACACACAATACTCAAAGTATCAAGAGTTAAATATACAAAGTGAAACGCAAAATTACGCTTTAAAAAATACATCTATCTTTTTTCTCTTCTTTTTTTCTTCGTTAAATTTTCAGTTTTTTTTTCTTCCTAATCAGCGCAGTNAGGTATTCTTTTTGATATTCTTGTACATTAAGCTATTCTTTGTCAGATAACTTACAGTACTTGTTTGATATAAAGTAATTTTATCAGCCTAATGGGGCATTTTAGCATTTTGCTAAAACTTTTTTTCAGATTTTAGCTTTTTTGCTAATAAATTTTTAGACTCAGCTTAAACCCTGCTGCATACTAGAAAGAATATTATTCACCTTTAAAATTGACACACAATACTCAAAGTATCAAGAGTTAAATATACAAAGTGAAACGCAAAATTACGCTTTAAAAAATACATCTATCTTTTTTCTCTTCTTTTTTTCTTCGTTAAATTTTCAGTTTTTTTTTCTTCCTAATCAGCGCAGTGGGTTTTTACGAGATTTATCAGGAACTTTCCCTAGCCTGATAATCTATTGAAATTACATTTCTTATCTGATAAGATGTATTTATTTATTTTTATTAATTAAATACATGTATCAAAATACACTAAAAACTTTTTTTTTTGTTTCGCTCCTCGCGTCGTATTGCCGTTATTGCATTTTACTATACATCACGTCGCTGTCCAATCAAAATCGTTAATCATAAATCATCAACACGTTGCCGTAGAAGATGCATGCAAAACTTTGCTATGGTTTCTGTTTATTCCACTCTGCGTATGCTAATTATAGATTATCTTTGAAGGTCTTCATATCAGGTAAAGAAGAGCAAAAGACTATCATCTGACCTTCGCTTTATCTTTTTAAGAAAAGCTGGTTTTATTTAGTTTTTTATCAGTCTGCTATTATGACCATCTCACTTGTTTTTTTTAGTGTCATAATAAAGAGTATGCGCGTTAAGAAAAAAAAATATTGTACTTTTTGTTTTAATATTCAAGAGACGTTATAAAGTAGCTAACATAAATCATTTTATTAAGTGAAACTAGTCAATTATGTTATTAAACAGTTTCATGTCATGACTGTTGTCGTGTCTGACTGGCACGATCATTTTAGCAACGGTTTGTAGGTAGGTACTTTAGTTACGTCGCACTAGAGCTGCACAATGGGCTATTGGCGACTGTCTTGGAAACACCACTGAGGATGATCCGAAAAAATGCCATCGCAATTCTGATCCTCTGCAGAGGGGATGGCTCCCCTGCTTCGGTAGCCTGTCGACCTGCGCGCGTAGTTGAACACTTAACGGTAGAACAGATAAACGAGACCTAAACCACGCACCCTCTGTCCTACGCAGGCTGATCAAAGTGGTCACCCACCCGCCATTGATGCTTGACTTCGGTGATCTGCTGGGAACCGTGTATTTACGATCAATCCACTGCGGGACCATTTTAGCAACGGCTCACACGTCCGAAAAAAATCGTATTGGCGATGTGATTATGTCGTCTAAGTCTGAGATAAAATCTGTCAGTGATTGTAGGTTGTATAAACCAAAACCATGCTGACCAACGCGATATGTATAGATGGGGCTGCGGTTGAAGGACCCGTGCTGCAACGTATTAGCGTTACACCTGTTGTGTTGAATAGCGCATTTAAGTTCTCATTAACCAATACAAAAGACGTCAGCTAGCCTTATCTAAAACATACAAATTACAATAAAGAGCTTTAATACAAATAAACCCGGTAAACACAATGGATTTATAATTCCTAAATTAAACGACGCGATTATGTGAGTGAGTGGGTATATTTATGTGTCACGCCACCAGACAGAAATGGGGAAGTAATGGAAATGCTCTTTTGCAGTACCAAAATTGGAACACGTAGCCTTGGAATACGAAAAATAAAACTAAATCAAAACGATAAGATTTGAAGGTTGTCAAGTTTCTTCTCAATAACTGATACACTTTCTTAATCGAAAGAACGTAGACGGAAGCAAAACTCAACTTTTTCTCCCCTTTTTCCAATAAGAACTTAATTATCGTATAAGAACGTAAGAATTTAATTCCTAGTTAAAAGCTAAGCGTAATCTAATACCAGGGGTCTATTTAGAAGAAATTTGGGTCCGTTAACGGACCCTTCACAAAATATTTTAACTTAAAAACGGACCCTTCACAAAATTTTTCTTTTAATCGGACCCTTCACAAATTTGTTTATCTTCATTATTATTTTGTTAATCGAATAAACCCTTTCCAGGGCAGAAAACAAGAAAGATGGATGTAAACGAATTAAGTTTTGTCTTCGGCAGACGATTCTTCCATTATTCGTCCGAAATTAATATTCTGCGTTCAGCAGTATAGGCTAAATACCAAATATTTGTATGTTGCATCTCTAATTTAGAAGCAGCAATTGTTGTTTATTTTTTAAAATTTAATTTTTTTAATTATAATTTTACAGTGTTGAGCATAATCTTGTATGTCTTTACAATTTAAAAACTCCTTGAAAAAAAAATTTTTTTTTTGCAATAACGGACCCTATTTGCACAAATTCATAAAAGCGGACCCTGGTTGAAAGAATGTGAGTAATTTTTTCACAATTTTACGAAAAACGGACCTTTCACAAAATGTCTGGATAGACCCCTGAATACCAATTCTAAATCAATTTGATACCCAAAAACCGAATCATAAATCTTGTAAATTAAAGCAACTAACGTGTTACTGAAATGTGTAAATATTCATGGGCCAAGAGGTCTGAGGTCACTAATTTAAAGCGGGACTATTTAAGCGTCACTTATTTAACACGTTGAATGCCATGGGGGTCACCGGTGACCGACACTGAGTTTGTTCGTAGCGATACAGGGGTCACCGGTGAACGGCGAAGCCAAGATTATTAAAAACACATAATTCGAGTAAATTTTTTAAGTTTTTTATATTATTATCGTTACTAAAACGGTTTGAAGAAATTAATGCAATGTATAGAACACACAAAAATTGTTTTATTTCTATACACAGAGATGCCAACTTGCTCCGGACAGCGAATAAATATTTTCAATTGGTGGTTTATTGATTGTGATTCTTGGTTTAATAAATTCAATTTAGTAGATTTTTATCCACCACTATTCGTAGGCTTATATAATTTGCCACTATTTTCAGATATGTCATGCTAAACCTTTTAAAAAACTAGCAAAATTTCTCGAATATTTTCAAATTTAGTTTGTAGTTATTTACAGTTTGGCCAGACGGGCAAGCCATGTAAAATTAGCGTGGCATTCAACGTGTTAAGGGTTTAATTCTACTTTAATATAAATCATAAAAACAAGATACTAATGAATGCTACTAAATGAACCGAAAATCCTTAATATGAAAGTTAAAATTCTAAATTAACCTAAAATTCAATTTTAAACAAAATTGAATTTCAGGTCAAGTGTTTTTTTTTTTTTTTTTTTTTTTTTTTTTTTTTTTTTTTTTTTTGAATTTTGATAAGCGAAAAAGAACATTTGATTATTGTATTTACATGATGTTTTCTTTGAAGAAAAAAAAAATTATTCATCTATTCTTCAACATTTTTAAAGATGTACCGCTTAAAAATTAGATTCGCTTAAAAAATATATATAAAAACTTTGACCCCCCCATAGTGCGCCGATTATGAATCGATTTATGTTCACTTCATGACCACTGTTCCCTCTCTACACAAAGTAAGCGGGAAAAATGAGAGAAAATCCCTGTACTCAGGGGGGTGAGGTTAGTAAGTGGGAAGAACTTATGTGTAAAAAAAAAAATCACCACGGGTGATTTGCCGATCAATATAGAGTTGTCGCCTATAGTGAGTTTGAATGCGACAGGGGAGTTCGTTCACATGGTTTACAAATTAGTTGGATTAACGCTGTTTTTTGAAGCTTCCTCGCCAAGAAAAAAAAAGCCTTAGTTGAAATGTGCCTTACACTTGATGCAAAGCAATAATTTTAAACAATATATATAATCTTACCATGAAGAATTATCTGGAACAGACAAATAATTTGAATATTTTAAAAATTATTTAACTTTTTCAAAAATCACCAATTTGGCGATATTTTTCCCCCTAGATGAGAATTATCAAAATCACTACCTTACTCTCAGACTTCGCAAATTTTTATGAGCCCAGGTAATGCAGCATTGGAGTAAGTTTTTAAGTATTAAAAAATTAGACCACAAACGCTTTTCATTTTCACAAAACTGTGGCTTTTCTCCCTCTTGACGTTTTGCGCCATTTTCAAAATAAACGTGGACATATCTGGCATTAGATATGCTAAACTTGACCTAACAGTCACGAGTAACAGTTGCCAACTCACAGCAGTTTTAAAAATAGCATATTATTCGCAAAAAAGCACCATTTCCTTCCTACAATGACGGAGCCTTCGAAAAACA